CATTTGCCCATAAAGAGCAATTTTCAGCTTTTCCTGTTAACGCACACCAAATCCTGTTCGCCATTACTACCGGAAACAACTAGTCTCAGATGGTGACATAGACAATTACAAAAACTCATAAATGCCCAATTTGCTAAATCTATTAAAACTACTGCTCAACCTGCGAAAATTACATCACCATAATCTAAAAGATTTGAAAAATTTTTACCCAATCTGCCTATTTTTTCACATTTATAGACTATTTAATAATTTCATAGCAACTTCATGGACAACAATCTCACGAATAAGCCGGATTTCAAAAAAAAAAAGTGCAAAACGAGATAACGGAACCAGACCGAACAGATGCCCAAAAATTCGCTGCTTCGCCAAATTGAAGGTGTTTACTGTGCAAGAATATTTTCCGTCCGAGAAAGACAAAAACAAACCATTTGTTGAACATTGTTATAGGAGCGATTTGCAAATTGGCAGATAATGGATTTGATAATGAACTGCAGATAGCACAGCAGATGACCACTGTCAACGGTGTGCATGTGACGAAACAAAGTTTTCATAAGACGCAGAAATCCGAGGGACGAGTCGTAACTCTTCATCGCACATTCGCGAGTTTCCAGTTCATCCTTCAAAAAATCTTTTCTTGCCCAGTGGAACTAAAAGTGCTCATATTTTGAAGAAAATCTTAATAAAATGTCTTTTATCAGTTGCTGCAACTTATCGAATGCCTCAGTGAACAAAGCAGAAGATCAGCGCTGGAAAAAAATACTCACTTGTATGCCAGTTAATTTACCACTCGTTGTTTTCTTTATAACAGAGAACGAGATCAGTGCTGCCCAGATTCTTGCTGTGCCGTACTCGTATACTGCCAGCGATGCCAAAAAACGATAAAATGCGCCCTTCAGAACTAGTGGCACTGCTGAAGTGACTAAACTTGCCGACGTTTCCACGCACGACCATGAATTATTATCGAAAAACTGACGGCGTGCAGCACTGTCCTAAAACCATTATGCGCTCTAATCAACAAAACCAATATTATTGGTAAACAATTAGCTCGGTCGCCGACAACGCTTTGGATTGCAAGACCGGGCCCCTGATTTTAGTAAAATTACTACTTACATCACACTGGAACAGAAATAAGAAGCATTTAAAAACAGAGTTTCATAAATAAGCCCAGTTACGAGAACAGAAACACCAGATCACAGGGGAGCCTTGGAAAAATTCACACCCGAATTCCAATGCCCACCGAAACTCCAACGTTCAACTAATCCCTAAAATCGCTTGGCCAACAACCTTCACAGAATCAGATAAGCAGTCTTTCTTTCTGAAAGAACAAAAAAGCAACGTGTCAAATGCTAGCACTTCAGCAAGATATATATTACCCAACGATGCTGCTTCAATCACAGTAACCTTGAAAGGCTGCCATGTGCAATGGGCGGGCA